AACGTTAGAAAAAATAACAAAACCAAACGATAATTGCAAAATTAAAAAAAAAATAAAAAATGATTCAAAATTCTTCAAACCCTAAAGGTAATGCATTTCGCACATTTCAACATAAAAGTTGATTTTTCTCGAAAACGGTCAACTTTAGAGCTTATGACCAAGAGTAGCTTTTTTATGTAGAAAACATTGTCGGTTTGAATGGGCCTCTCAAAACCGTACTTTTTTCAGGGGCGTAGAAGTTGAGGAGAAAAACACCCGCTACCCCTTCAAAATCTCCACCATTTATATTGGCACAAAACATAGCTTATTATGAGCAGAAAATGCTTACAAAAGCTGTTTTTTGTACGATAAACGGTTCCGGAGATATTCGAAAAAAATTGATTTTTTTAAATTCAATCAATATAAATTCAAAATGCAATTAAAATATAAAATATAGTTTTTTTTAATTCAATCAAATTAAATTCAAAATGCAATTAAAATATAAAATATAGTTTTTGAATTGTTTTAACACTTGGGGGCATACCTTATATAAAATATTTTTTTGTTACAATAAACGGAACTAGAAAAGGTTGCATCTATTTATCAAGGATTCTTGTATTATAGAAATTGATAAATTTATACAATTAACTAATTTAGGTAAAAATTGTTGGTTAGAAAAATTAAGTGCTATTTCCTAATTTTGGTTTAATTAATGAACATTTAAATGTTCACCAAATTAAATTAATACATGTAATAAATTATTACCTTTCATAATAAGTTAAAAAGGTTACTTCCGTGGGAAATAAAAAAAATTATGCATCAATAAATCACAAATCATTTAAATGATTTAAAATGTAGGTACTTACTAAGTAATTAATAGATGAAATATTTTAAAATAGTGTTTTCCATTATATTAATGGATTTGGTATTTAAAAAAATATAATTAAAATGTTTTGATTTATGATTTGTTATTTATAATAACAGTTTGTAAGCAATGGTAAATTTAAGATTATATCTATATCTATATAATATATAGATAATATATATAGATATATTATGTACATATAGTGTATCTAGTATAATATTAATTTCATTTATTTTTTATCAAGTTTATGGCATACATTGATTCATCATCATCATTGAGTATTTAGTGAATATGTTTAGAGGTCATTTCTACTTAAGTATTAATATTAAAGAACTAATAAAATTTATTTAATAAAATGCATTTTATGTTGAATCTTTCATGATTTGTTTTAATGTTTTATTATTAAAATAGTTATTTACGTCATTAGACACAAAATACACTTCTCAGCCGAATGGCAAACATTTTATCTTCAAAGCATAATTTTATACATTAAACAATACATAAACCATAATAATAAATAATTTAAGTAGAAATTGAGGTTGGGTAGATCTGACAGTTCAAACGGTTTTTTTATAGACTAGAAATTAAAAACTTTACCCGATTGGTAGGCGATAATCAATTACTTTAAAAGTGAGTGTTGACAAAAATAAAGTTTAAATTATAGAACGCTTAAAGATAGGTAAATATACTTTTCTTTACTATTATTTGTATTTTACCATATTTTTAAGCGTTTATAGTTGTCAACAGTTTTATCGAGGTAAAAGGGGGAGATTAGGAGAAGTACCATATCCAATCCTTAGTTTTTAATATTAATTGTAAATTTAAAATAATATTCTGTAAAAAGATAATTAAATTTAAACAACACCCAATAAGTCAAATATCAATATTAAATATAAAATTTGTGAAATATGAATAACATTTTCTTCCGGATTAATTAAAGTCTGGGTAGGACTGATGAGTCAATGTGTAGAATTATACGAAAATTATGTATTACTTAAATTTATGTTGACATTGATAAAGAGGTTTATCACAATTATTCATTAAATAAAATTAATGTAATTTATTAATTTTGTCGGGTCGGCTGAAGCTGTAAAATACACTTATTTATTTAACTATATTCTAAACTCATTAGAAGGATTATAAGGGCATTTTTATTTATTTATAAACGTTAATAGTTTTTACCAGTTTTATCGAGCTAAAAGGAGGAGAATTAGAAGAAGTACCAACTTATAATGAAATCATTAGTTTCGTTGTTGTATAATATATAATATATAATATATAATATATAATATATAATATATAATATATAATATATAATATATAATATATAATATATAATATATAATATATAATATATAATATATAATATATAATATATAATATATAATATATAATATATAATATATAATATATAATATATAATATATAATATATAATATATAATATATAATATATAATATATAATATATAATATATAATATATAATATATAATATATAATATATAATATATAATATATAATATATAATATATAATATATAATATATAATATATAATATATAATATATAATATATAATATAATTTCAAGGGTTTTTCGAGAAAATATCCTTAAAGCCCTTTTATTTAATGATAAAAAACGCTCGAAAAAACTTTTTATATATAAAAGTTTTTTTTGAAGTAAATTAAAAATATGCGCTGCAAAATCTTAAAAAATGACCACTTTTCACAAAATAATCAAAAAGGGGTCATTTTTACCGACTTTGAAGCACTGTATCTTTGTTACTGTTCGTTTGATTTGTTTAAAATTTTCAGGGTATACTAAAAAAATACGGTCTTTAACAGCATATTTTTTATTTACTTAAAAAAAATCCCTATAGGGTTTTTCGAGAAAATAATTTTAAAGCCGTTTTATTTAACGTTCGAAAAATAACTTTTATAAAAATATTTTCTCGAAAAACCCTCGAATACGTAAACTGAGATTTTTAAAGGTTTGTTTCATATTTTCAAATTCGGTTTAAAATTTTGAAAAAAGTAATTATCAAGTGAGCCCAATAAAATTGCTAGACTTTTGAGGAAAAATGATCAAGTAGCCTTACGTCAAGCCTTGAAATGTTCTACTAAATGTCATTTAGGCATATTTGGTAAACTTATTTTCTGTTTGTCCGATTGATTTTGTCAAATATCTTTACGAAGAATGCTAAATTTCTTCAGCAATGCCGAGTCTGCAGACATACATTTTGTTTATGGATTCTGCAATGGAAATGCCGCAGCGGCCGTTAGAGAATATCGCAGAAGATATCCAAATAAGAGGCAACCAAATTCACGCGTTTTTGTGAACATTCATCGAAATTTTTGTGAGTTTGGTTTAAAAACCGTCATGGACCGGCAGCCTAGAGAAAGAAATAATGAAAATATTGCCATACTCAGAATATTTAATAACAATCCTCGGCTAAGTTCACGTAGAGCAGCCCTGCAGTTGGGAAAATCAAAATCTAAGGTACTGCGTGTTTTACATAAAGATCATTAAAGAGCTTATCATTTACAACCAGTGCAAAATTTACTTCCTGGTGATGAAAATCGTCGAATAACCTTCTGTAACTGGATATTGGATTCTGTTCAAGAAAATCCGCAATTTCTACATAAGATTTTATGGACTGATGAGGCCAGTTTCACAAGAACCGGAGTATTTAATCACCATAATTCTCACATTTGGGCTCAAGAAAATCCAAGACAGATTCGAATTCGTTCCTTTCAACATGAATTTAGTGTTAATGTGTGGCTTGGGCTTATCAATGGTTATGTTTGTGGTCCATTTTTCTTACCACCTCTACTAAACTCGGCACTGTTCCTTAACTTTTTAACAAATAGCTTAAACGACTTGTTTGATGGTATACCTGCCGAAGTACGTCATAATAGTTGGTTCCAAATGGATGGCGCACCCGCTCATTTTGGCCGACAAGTGAGAGACTGGATGATTGAAAATTATCCGGAAAGATGGATAGGGCGAATCACAAATAACGATCCACCAGAAGTGGGAAGGGGGCCAGTACCTTGGCCACCAAGATCACCTGATATTACGCCATTCGATTTTTACGCATGGGGCTACATAAAGGATCTTGTGTACGCCACAAGAATTGATATAAGGGAAGAGTTGATTGAACGAATTCAACAAGCATGCCACCAGTTAGGTGAAAACCGGCATCAAATATTAGCAGCGACATGTTTTAAAAACTTCAAACTCGAATATCTCGAAAACAAAGTCTTCAGTCACAATTTTCCAGGGGTAGAATAATTCTACATTTTCGACATGTTTTAAAAACTTCAAACTCGAATATCTCGAAAACAAAGTCTTTAGTCACAATTTTCCAGGGGTAAACTTTTTTGTTCAAATTTAATGTTGAATTCAAAAATATAAACAATTTATAAAAATAGCAAGGGGTTGAAAAATGGGGAGGGAAAAAGGGGAGCTTCCCCCCATCATCTACGCCCCTGAATTATTTTTATAATACGCGTTATCACTGGTCGAACAAGACTTATTTTATCAAACTTTGGTTAAAATTTAAACCAAATCGTTTAAACGGTTCAAAAGTTATGCTAAAAAAACGATAATTTATTTCCCACTTTGAAGGGTTATAGCTTCCTTATTAGGCACTTTTGAAAAATATTTTATTAGGAAAGTCCCCTTCATTTTTGATTCTCTATCACCTCCTAAAATTAATGTATCTCAAACTGGACCACCCGTATATATACCTAGGTAGGTACCTAGGTAGGTATATTTTTTATATTTTGTGCAATATTATAATTACCTTTGTAATGAAAATTTAAAAATAATTAACAATATAATATACATTTTAAAGTTAACACCTTATATTTTATTTAAATATAATCTAATTACAAAAAATGATAAACTTTTAAGATGGAATTTTATTCAATAAATCCATTTTAATATTAAATTTATTATATTAACAATATATACGAAGTACAATAAATTAAAAATTGTGCATTTAAATTACTAATTTTACTAATTTAATCAATTTTTTAAATCTTGATTTCAAATTATATGCAATATTTATTTAGTATGCAAAATTGCATCTGAATGAGCCTTTTAATTAAAATTAATAATACAATCATAAAAAAATAACAATGTTTTACTTACATTTAATTATAGTTGAATAAACCACAATTTGAACAAAACACTTGCGCGCTTTTTAATTAATAAGTGCAGATACCGTTCAAGGATCAGCAAGATTACTCGCGAAAGAAACGAAGAATCAAGAGAACCGCACGTCTTGCGTCTGTCGCCAGTATGTCTGGTTAGGTCGGTGATCGGTTGCCGCCACTCTTATTATATGTGTCCTACAGAGTTAACTCAGCAGGTGTCAAGGACAAAAACCATACCTATTACCGGAGACACTAATTACATGATCGAATGAATATTTTTGACCAATAAATATCAAAAATTTCGTCAGAAAGATTGGCCCCAAAAACAATATCATCATTACTAAAAGATCATCCCTTCTTTCACTTAATGTTAAAATGTCTCGACCCTGTGCGCGATCCACGTTAATTTTATTAAATTTGTATTATTAATAAAAATAAAAATGACAAAAATATTTTTAATATTGCGTAACGCTCGATCCAGAATTCCAAATCTTACGCACTCTGATATGTGAAACGATAAAGATTTGGAATTCTGGATTGTGCGTTAAGAAGTAAAGGGAAAGTGTAATATAAATGTTTTTACTTGCATATCATAATAAGCAACATTAAGACACGCATTTGCGTTTCATTATATCTTATTACGATACGCAAGTAGATAGAGGATTTTTTTTTTAATTTGGCTGACGATATGTCATTATTGAAAACGTCATAATTTTTTACCATTAATATAATTTTTCAAAGGAACATTTATCAGTTTCTAATTGTGCAAATAGTATACACTTTAACAACAATACTGCAGGTGTATGCTTATAATTCTGTGATGTATTATGTCCGTTAAAAATTGAGGTTTAGTTGACATTTTATTTATTTATTTTTTTTATTTATTTAATTTAATTTACATCCAACAGTTAAATACCATTTACAGGATGAGACTTAAGACTAGTAACAATAATATAAAAATATCAAAATAATCCCAATAATGTAACAATATACCCTAAGAAAAAAAAAATTAAAACAATAACAAATACTACCATCACAACAGCTGCAAAAATGCTTGCTTTACTTCATTTATTGATGAATTAAAAATATCTATTGAATTTTGAATTAGTTTATAATTGTTACAGGCGTAAAATAGCGGAGATTGTCGTAGTATATTGGTACGTGGAATAGGGTTATGGAACATATAAGAGTTCCGAGTAGAAACTCGTGGTACATGAAAGTTTAGCATTTTTAGAATTTCAGGGCAGTCAATTAAACCATTAGCAACTTTAAAGATAAATATTATTGAGGAAAAGTTCCTTTGGGATTCTGTAGATATTATGTTATGGCGTGAGCGCAGTTCAGAGTTGGTGATGCTAATAGGAGGATATATTTTATCTATTTTAAAAGAAACAAACTTAAGGAAATCTCTTTGAACACATTCGATCCTTTTTATATAGGTTTGGTAGCCCGGACTCCAAATACAGCCAGCATAGTCTAATTTTGATTTAACAAAGGCGTTAAATAATAAAAATAAAACCGAAGGTTGGTCAAAATCCTTGCAATTTCTAAATAAAAAACTCAAATTTCTGTAAGCCGAAGAAATCACATAATTAATATGATCAATAAACCCAAGGCTGGAGTCGAATAGAACACCTAGATCTCTAAACGTTGTGTCTCTGACTAAATATGTATTGTCAATTATGTAATTGTAATATATTAAGGTCTTTTTTTTAGTGTAAGAGATCACTTTGCATTTTTGTGCATTTAGTGGTAGCTTATTTGCAGTGCACCATTCACTTAGAATTAGAAGGCTATTTTGGATACACATACAATCATCAAGGGACTCAATTTTATTATAAATTTTTAGATCGTCAGCGTACATTAAACAGGGCATATTCAGAACTGAAGGTATATCGTTGATATACTACCTACTGCAGAATAAATTCCGAAATCGCAATATAAATTATAATTCAACAATTGTTCTGAAAATTTTGGCGAATAAAAAAAATAGTACTACTAAGAAATTATCTCATAAGACGCGCTCGTTTTGTAAACTTGTCCTCGCGCGAGAAAATGACGTCTTATGTTCTTTAACATAATTTTTAAGGTGTAAAACTCATAAATCACATCAGTGGTTTGGGTGCCATGGCTAAAACTATTTTTTAATTTTTTTTTCAACTTTTGTCCATTGCAAACCTAAAAAAGAATTCAGTTGTTCTAGAAAATTTCGAATATTGTATGCGTACTTACGTCAATATCGAATAAGATTTAGATTTTATACGGTTAATTACACTGTGCAACACAAAAAATGAACTGGGGATCAAATCTGAAAAAATCAAATCTAGGCAACCCCCAAAACAAATCCTTTAAGGGGTTTTACCAGTTTAGCTCGAATAATGGAGATATACATATATATATGTACACGGTGTTTCTTTTAACTTGAGACAGCTCAATATCTCGAGAAATACGCATTTCACGGAAAAATGTCTTAGATAAAAGGTTAATGTGACTAAAGGGGACATTATTTGGTGCTACCGCTAGCCACCCCCTACCCCCTCCTTAAGGGTGAAACGGGGGGTAACTTTGGAAAGTCAAATGGAATGACCCGATTTTTTTCACAGAGTTTGGTAGTACATAAAAAAATAAATAACTTTTATTTAAAACTTTTTTCAATTTATCAACAGATGGCGCTGTAATTCAAAATTTAAGAAAAATGAGTTTCCTTGTAAAATGTATTATTTGAAACGTTTGAAAAACAAAAATTAACATTAACAACAATAGTCGGCTATGAAAAAAATTTATAACAAATGTTGATTTAATGTTAATTTTTGTTTTTCAAACGTTTCAAATAATACATTTTACAAGGAAACCCCTTTTTCTTAAATTTTGAATTACAGCGCCATCTGTTGATAAATTGAAAAAAACTTTCAAATAAAAGTTATTCATTTTTTTATGTACTACCAAACTCTGTGAAAAAAATCGGGTCATTCCATTTGACTTTCCAAAGTTACCCCCCGTTTCACCCTTAAGGAGGGGTAGAGGGTGGCTAGCGGTAGCACCAAATAATGTCCCCTTTGGTCACATTTACCTTTTATTTAAGACATTTTTCCGTGAAATGCGTATTTCTCGAGATATTGAGCTGTCTCAAGTTAAAAGAAACACCCTGTATATCTCCATTATTCGAGCTAAACTAGCAAAACCCCTTTAAAGATTAGTTTTGGGGGTTGCATAGATTCGATTTTTCCACATTTCATCCCAGTTCAAATTGTAAGGTCAAAATTTGTCGCACAGTGTTATTTAAAGCTATGTAAAATGTAATTTTTAATCCCCAAAAAACTTTTCCAAGATAATGAATATAAAGATGAGTTCAGTTAGGTCCTATAGGACCTAACTGAACTCATCTAGTCTTGGAAGTATACTCCAGGAATACTCCAGGAATTGAATGCTATTTTAAAAACATTATTTCTGGTCAGTAGATTCAGTAGTGACGTGCAAATAAATGCTTAAGTTTTTATTCTAAAACCGTTCGTCGGACGAAAAAGGAGGCCACTTTCAAGAGCTTCTCAATTTTTGTCGTTAAAAATGTTCAAGGGCATATCCGTGTGGACGCCACTGATAGAAGTAGGACAAATATATAAAAAATATATTTTTTGCCTTTTTCTCTCCCAATAAAATTAAAAAAACTATATAAAGCGATTTCCATGATATTATATTATTATTTAAAAGACATTACTATTCTATTATTACACTGTGCAACATTTTTAAGGTCATCGATTTAGGACTCAGTTTTGATTTTTTTTTCTGAAAGTACTTGCCAAAACTAGAACTTCTGCATCATTACTTTTGCCAAGTTGGTTCGGAATAAGAGAAATAAATTCAAACCCGTTTTTTGGCTCAAACTGGATTTTAAGCATTTTTCGATATTTTGACACGGCTATATCTCGTAAACCGACGGAGATATTTTTTTTGTGTCTGGAGCAAATTTGTAGGTATTGAATGGGAGAAAAAAATGCAAAACAAACTTACCCGAAAAAAATGCATCTGGTGCCTCAAAATAGCAAAAATGCTTATTTTTCACCATTTTTTAAAACTATTTTTCAACATTTTTCGACAATTACTCGGCTACACATCTACAAATATGTTGTTTTTTTATTTTTAACTTTATTTCGTATCACACAAATGTTTTTCAATTCATTTTAAACCTATTTTTACATAGAAAATATAAGTTTATGGCTGTTATGTAGGTATTTATGAAAAAGAGATAAAAATATGTTAATTGTAGACCGGAATAAAAACCTATAAAAATAATTATCTTTTTAATGCATTTTTTGCAACCCTGCTGCTTCATTTGTTTATCAAGCGTGTTTTGTGCAACGAGATATAATTTTGAGTGAATATATTGTTATGTTATAACATTTTAAAAGCAAATAAACATTGAAATTTCAGTATGGAAAACAGCAAGTGCCCAAAAATAAATAATTTTTGTTACGTTTGTGGTCATATGGTGCTAAAAAAAGAAGAAAAGGAGCTAAAAAGTTTGTTTAGTGCGGATTTCACAAAAGCATATGAGCATTATTTCAATGAAACTGATTCAAGTGGTAAAGATTTTACGCCGAACACGGTGTGCAAAATGTGCTATAACACTCTGAATTGGATACATAAAAAAGGAGCACAGTTGCCTTATGTGAAGCCAATAATTTGGATTAAAGACCCAACCGGGCACGATGTATCCAGGTGTTACTCATGCATTAATTTTACTCAGGGAATGAACAGAAGAAAGTTGAAAACAAAAGTATATGTTCCTGCTTTTACTGCCGTACTTCCATTGCTACGCCAGAAAGGTGACAAACTACCTAAACCTCCGACTCCGTTGTCCCCCCATGGGTCCCAGCGAGCTGAAACAATTTTCACCAACCCGACCAATGTGGCAGATGTAGAATGGGAACCCGATTTGGAAGATGATGGACCACAACCGCTAACACAAAGCGAAATGGACTACATTGTGGCTAGGATGGGAGCATCGCAACGAAATTCGGAATGGTTGACCTCATTTTTGAAGAGCAGAAAACTCACACAGCAAGGGGTTAACGCCACATCGTACCGGAAACGCCAAGCTGATTTCCAGACATTTTACACTGTTAACGATGAAAATACGTTCGC